GTGTGTGTGTGTGTGTGTGTGTGTGTGTGTGTGTGTGTGTGTGTGTGCGTGCGTGTCTGTCTCTGTGTGTATGTGTGTGTGCGTGCGTGCGCCTCTGTCTGTGTGCGTGTGTGTCTGTCTGTGTGTGTGTCTCTGTGTGCGTGTGTTTCTGTCTGTCTGTGTGTGTGTGTGTGTGTGTGTGTGTGTCTCTGTGTGTGTGCGTGTCTGTGTGCGTGCGTCTCTGTCTCTGTCTGTGCGTGTCTGTCTCTGTGTGTATGTGTGTGTGTGTGCGTGCGTGCGTGTGTCTCTGTGTGTGTGTGTCTGTGTGTGTGTGTGCGTGCGGCCCCCACAGGTGTGGAGACAGGCCTCACCAGCTGCGTCTGCGGTCGAAGAAGTGGACGAGGAAGAGCTTCTCTGCGGACCTGAACTGCATCTGCTCTCCGGCTCTGAGCACGTCCGGGGGGGGCCGGGGCAGCTCCGCCCCGCTGAGCTGGCCCGCTGTCCTCCGGGGGCGGGGGTCCATGATCTGGGGACACACACGGAGGGAGGGACGCTGAATGAGGAGTCCCGCTGACCGTTTGGGAGCGTGTCCAGTAGGAGCTGCCCACAAAGCCACTTTAGATAGAGAAGCATGCAAGGCCGAGATGAGCAGGAGCTGAGTGACTGACCACCGCCGGCCACCGCCGGCCGGTGTGTGTTCCTGCATGAGCACAAACCACAGCTACTGCGTGGACAATGGAGCGGCAGATGAGCGATGAGGTACAGAGGGGACTGACACTCACTCACCAAGGCGGGGAAGGAGGGGTATCCATTACATTTAGCCCAAACTATCTTAAGAGGCTCCAGAACAAATGGAGAAGCAGCAGTGGGCTTCCACACCTCTACAGGAACAACCACAAGCAAGTTATGAAGGCTTCACTGAAACAGAGAGCACAACCCTTCTCAAAACAGAGCCACGCACACGGGAGGAGGCCGTCCGACCTCACGGCCAGCCCTGAGGAGCGCGCACGGGCACGTGCACACGCGCACAAACAGGGATACATGCACACAGACAGACGTACACGGTTCATGAACATGTGTAACGATTGTGGGGGTCTTCATCTGGATAAATGAGCTGAAGGTGATGGTGGGGTGCTGATGTCAGGGGGCTGCAGTGTGTGTTTAGTGACTGACATAAGTCAGAGCCAGAACATCTTCTAGAAATAATGAACCAGCCTCCTAGATCCAGTCTATCATGCTGGCCTTCTGATGTCATGATTAAATCAGTCGTAACCAATGACGCTTCGTGTTTGTGATGTCATCTGTGGTGTATCTGGTCTAAGAGCTGTCCAGTTTTGTTTTTCAGTTACTGGCCTAACACACCCTCGCCCAACATTCATTTACATTTAGATTTTTATTATGGCTCTTTGTCCTCACACTTGTTGAGGCTGATAGATACCGGTATGTATTAAAGGAACAGTTTTCTGTTTTGGACAAGAGGTGAAATACTAAAACCGAAAACAAAAACAGTCCCAACCAGTGTCTGAACCACCCTGTGAGTCTACGGGACTCAGATGGACAGTGACACATACACAATAGCCCCTGGAAGCCGTTTCCTACACACAAAGGGCCATTTCTGAATGTGGCGCATTCTTAAGACCAGGTGCACAGACAGGTTGGAATCAGTTTAAGTCTCATTTACAGGTGGAAATGGTGTCGTTTTCAGTGGCATTTAAACCCCAAACCAAACAGATCATTCAAAGGAGCTGGCTCAATGTGACAAGGCTCTAAATAACTGCAGGCACAATTTGAGGTTGAGTATTGGCTGAGGAATATTCAGCTCATAAAGCACTGAAAAGAGAAAATACTAATCTGATCTGACATGGTGGTGACCGTCCAATAAAACGCTGTGGACTTCTACAGCCTGTTTAGGAGTTTCAGAATTGTTGGTATCCCTCTGTTAATGAAATAAAACCCCTCAACGGTCACTGAAATAACTTGAAACTGACAAAAGCAACGTCTGATTTCCATCCATCTGAATTCAGGACATTGTCATCACAATTTATTTTGTCAGTTTCAAGTTATTTTAGTGATCATTCGGGGTTTCTATTTTGTGAACAGAGGGATACCAACAATTCTGTCCCCCATGTGCCCCCCCTCACAACCAGCCTGGACATGGGGCTGCCCATCCACCCCATGAGCAGAGAGCTGGAGTCGTACACATCAAGCTGCCGGCCTTTTGAGCTGATACACATTTTCCTTCATTTTGGATGCAACCAATCTTTGATTAACCTTTGCCCTCAGACCGTGGGTCCAGAAATAAGACATCAAAAACAGATTGTATTTGCTCTGTGTCACTGATACGTCTAAGTTTCAGCTAAAATGGTCTGTCTTTGTCATTGCTTTCTTAAATCAGGCCCTTTTGGTGCGTTTCATATGCTACATAGTAATCATGATGCCGTTCATGTGCACAGAGTTTCTTCTTGTTAAAAGGGAGTTGTGTTTCCCCCACTCTCGCTTCATGCATGCTCCAGACAGGACACTGACCGCAAGACTTCCTTGAATTAAAAACAGGAGTATATAAATAACCATCTTCCAATGCTCATTTAGCTTTTTCATGTTTAAATTGGGTTTATAATGGCTGAGTGGTTAAGAGAATGGTAAGAAAGGTGGAAGAACAAATTCCATCCTATGAGCCAGAGGTGTTGGCAAAGGTGGATATTAGTAAACTAGATAACCCAGGAATGAAATAACTATTAAGGAAACAAGAGAGTGGATGAGTCAAAGTTTGTTTCATGCACATGATTCTGGTGAGGCCGACCCTGCTTTCCTCACCTGAAGACAGCTTGGGTGCTTTGGTGAAATCTCCATTTTCTATGCAGGTCATCAGAGAGCTCCGGTCATCCACGGTGCTCCGTCGAGCCGTGGCCGGTCGCCCTTTCCCACTTTTAGACGTGATGACCGCACTGGAAGACAAGATCAAAGTTGGGCAAGGAACCCGACCAGTTAGCTTAAAAATCTCCCTGTTCAAAGGGATCCTCGCTCTTGTAAAGCAGGCGATTTTTGCATAACAGTAACCCCCAGCAGCCTGAGGGGCGGGCTGGTTTCAGAGCTAAAGCACCTGCTGCTGCACAGAGCGCTGCTGCTGGACGAGATGCTGGACTCTGACGCACATCTGCGGCGCGGCTCCAGCTGACGGGGAGACGGGGCCGCATCTTCCTCCACCACGAAGCCGTTTGCAATTCCTTGAGGGTGAAAACAGGGACACCCGGCATTCCTACGTGTTTTAACTGAGCATGGTGTTCTGAGGCTCCTGAACGGGCTCCTCAGTGCGTACCTGTGCCCAGACGCTTGATGGGCGTCTCCTCGTCCTCCTCGCAGTCAGCACTGGTGCTTCGCGTTCTCTTCTTGGGCAGCAGGAGTGTCTCCAGTCGTGGGATCACCACGGACAAAAAGGTCTTTGCCCCGAGCGGCGGCGGCGAGCCCGCGGCCCCCTCTGGAGTCCTGGGGGGCTTCTGCGGGCTGGCGCTCTTGGACTTGCGGAATAAGACGTTGGTCCGGCGGCTGCAGGTGCCAGAGGCTTCTATGTGAAGGCTGCCGTTGGCCAGCGGCCGGTCTGAGACGCGCCCGTTAGGGGGGGCCGCGGGCGCTGAGGTAGATGTGTTGGTGCCCTCGGGCTCCACGGGAGGCTGGTCCCAGACAGATCCCAGCGGCTTCAGGGGGGGCGGCTCCGGCTTAACGGGTGTAGTCTGGGAAGCCAACAGCTCCAGTGCTGGCGGACGTAAAGTCTGATCCTCCTGTGGCGTGCAGGAGCTGGGTGAGGTCTCAGGGGGTTTCTGCTCCTCTGAGTGAGGAGGAGGTGGAATGGGATCTGAGGCCGGGGGGGGCGGCGCTGGTGAGACAGACTTCTTCAGGCTCATCTCGTTGCGGACTTCTGCGATGGTCTTTTTGAGCAGCTTGAGCCTCTTGCTGCGAGACGGGCTGTGCTTCATGGCAGTGCTCAGGTCAAGCTTCTCCAGAAGCTCCCTCAGTTGGTCTTTCAAAGGGGTCCTCTGACGGTAGGTGGGGCTTAGAAGGCGGTCCACTGTGAGAAACACACGATTGAGGCAAAAGCTCAGTTTCAACCGATTTGTCTGGAAAACTCTTTGCTTATTTTCCTTATTTCTACTCTTCAAACACTGCTTTAAAAATAGACTCCAACTGAAACCTCACACCTTCCAAAACAAAAACTCTCCTCACAGATTTTACACGTACAATACTTTTTAACTTTGCTCAGAACTGGTTCACACCCTCCTTTCACAACAGAATCCTCTCAGTAGTAACCACTGCCACTCTCTGCTAATAATGCTTTTAAACTGAATTGGAACTAAAGACATCAAAAGATGCTGTGACTGGGAAGCCTCTGCATCGATCCACAGGCTTACCGTCCTCCCAGGAGAAGGGCGGGGGGGTCTCTAGTTTGGGCGCCTCGGGCAGGTGGAGCCCTCTGGGGAAGTCAAAGCCAATCCTGTCGGCCTCTTTGTGGGCCCTGCGGAGGATGACCCCTCCGTGATCCAGCATCCGCTGCGCTGCCTTGTAGAAGAACGTGTCCTTGGCGTTGTACTTCATGCAGTTACTGATTATGAGGTTAAAGTCGGCTTCAAAGTCATCCAAAGAACTGTAGTTGTGCGCATCGATTCTTTTCCTCATAGTGGAAAAGTCCATAGGATTACTTATGTGGTCCAGATAGTCAGGAACCTGCAGAGAGAAGAGCCTTCATTAGCCATTTTGGAAAGAAAACTAGTAAATCATTATTTGAGCTCTATCATAATGATAACCTTTTTCCAAAATGTTAGCGCACATAACATACTTTTATGTGGTTCGGCTACTAATGTGCAGCTTCAACAGGTCCTGAGTTCTATCTAGTTGTTTTACAGTTCCAAACCTCCTTTATGCTGACAGGCTGGGCAAAGATGCTGTACTGGTCCTTCTCCTGCAGCTGGCTGAGCACAGCCCTCAGCAGGATGTTGAAGGGGGTCAGCTGCACCTCCAACACCGACTGGTGGAGTTTCATCTGAGAGGAAAACAATGAAGAAGCGCAACACTGGATTAACAGGACAGCAAATTCTGTGTGCTGGTAAGGGTGCAATTCTTCAGAACAAATAAAACAACTGCTGTCCATTTCTCTGTATTCCTGACTTTTGCAGCCATTACCTTTAGCCCTCTTCCATATCTGGATTATTCTGGATTTTAGAATAGAAATTAAATATATTCGTTATCCAGGTGATTACAAAACACTACTCATTGAGTGATTGACAGGGAGTAAATCCACAAAAACGCATATGTATCTTAAATAGTTTGTTTTTTGCATTAATCCCGAGCCTACCTTTTTATGGTTCAAGTCTACTATACTTGGGGACGCGCCCCTTATTTCTTAAATTTGACTTCAAGTCAGATTCGGACATATCAAACAGTGATACGCGTCTCCCCACCTCGTCCCTCTTAAGTTTCTCTCTCTTCCTAATGAGCTCCAGCAGCAGACGGGCTCGCTCCAGGTCGTGGCGGAGGCGGTGCCACTCTTTCAATTGCTCTTTCAGAGCCTGGTTTGTCTCCATGCGATCCTGCCAGAGGACACCAGATTAGGCTCAATAATAAATACACACTGAGAAAGCATCCACTCCATCAACTCCACTGGAATCACTGACCATCTGCTTGGCTTTGGGGGGCTGAGGGTTGGCCTGCAGTCTGCGGATGAGAGGCACATTGTTTCTCGACTGCCTCTTCAGCACCCAGTAGCTCAGCAGCCCCTCCACGAACACGCGCTTCCTTTGAACCGCCACCTGGTTCAGGATGGTGTCCAAACTGAATCGCAGGGGAAAAAGAGAATCAGAAGTGAACCGTTATAACGCCTTTATTTCCCCGAAAAATTCAAAGCGTTTTTTATTTTATAGACTCTAATATGCTCTACATTTGTGATCTAATTGGACTGTAGTGATTAAAAAAAACTTCAGAAAATAGCATTTTAAAATGGGAAGACAAAGTCTACGAGCTGAAATGGGCTGGGGTTGCTGACCTGAGCGCCCCGTTACTGATTACCTGGACACAGTGATGCTCGGCCCAGAGCTGGGCGGGGGCGTAGTTTCCGTTTCCGGCTCAGCTCTCTTAATCTTCTTCTTCTGCCAGCCCTTGGAGCGCGCTTTGCCCCTCTTGTCGGGCCTCTTGTGGCAGGCTCCGTGGTTGGGGTAGTGCTCCTGGTAAATGGCGAGCGGCCGGCGGTCACAGCCGTCCGGCGTGTGGCTGCAGCAGAAGGCCGTCTTTTTCACCGAGAAGATGGCGGCGCCGGACGCCGTCACCTCTCTGACGGGCTCCATCTTCATGTAGAGGCCGGCCTTCTGGGCGCAGCTGACGTGGAAGGCGGTGTAGCAGTTGATCTTGTCGCACTGGATGCAGGCGCCGGCGCCCTTGGCCTTGCACAGGTAGCAGGTGAGCCTCCAGCGGGCCGGCGGGATGTTGCGGACGCCGTCGATGGGCTCGATGAAGACGGTGTCGGAGAAGCCCACTTCGGGCACCCACAGCGCGCACGCCACGTGCCCCCAGCGCCCGTCGTCCGTCTTCTTCAGAGCCCCCCCCCGGTTGGGGCAGAAGAGGCACTCGGGCGGGCGCGCGGGGCACTGCAGGCAGTGGCGGCACAGCCACTGGCCCTCGGGAATGTAGGGCACGCCGTAGCACTCCTGGTGCACGGGGATGTTGCAGGAGTCGCAGAAGAGGATGACGTTGCTGTCGGCGCCGTCCCCGTCCATGCACACGCAGCACACCGCGTCCTCGTCCACCAGCGCCTGCAGGTCGCTCTGGCCTCGCGTGGCCAAGTAGGACTCCTTCTCAAAGCGGTCCATGAGGAACTCGAACAGGTTGTGCGACACCTGGCTGACCCCCTCGCTCTTCCTCTTCTCGTTAATCAGCTCCAGCCAGGCATAGTCTTCCTCATCCATGTCGTACTCCACTTCCTCGTCCAGCTCCTCCGCTGTCCTCTCGGTGTATTTGTAATAGGCCGCGGGCCTCTTGGGCACCACGGGCAGGTTGTATTCCACCGTTCGGACCTTGGGTTCCAGGAGGGCGGCGGCGCTGCAGCTGTGCGAGGCGCTGAGCGCCGCGTTCTTCTTCTGCTGGTTGATTTTGAGGCGCACCGAGCGAACCAGGACCTGCTGGGGCTTCTCGTTGTTCTCTTTGTTGCTGTTGCACTCCATGATCTCCTGGGCGGTGGGGTCGTCGTCGGCGATGACGTCCAGCTTGTCGTAGATGCTGAGCCGATGCACGCGGCCGTCCACCTCCAGCTCCACCATCCGCTGCGCCTGTGCGTACGTCAGCGTCTCCCTGTTGGGCGAGGGCTTGATGGGAGAAGAGTCCCTCCTCAGCACAGCCGGGCGGTGGTTTCTGCCTTTCTTCTTCATGGCGTTTCAGCGACCCTGAAAACAGCGTCAGTCAAATGGTGGATGATACATCACCAAATAACCGTCTGGCAGAAACCCTTCAAAGGGGGTTTTTCATTAGAAATAACTACTCTCTGAAATGACAACCAGAACACAAAGTATACAACAGAGAATCACAAGTGTTTCATCTCACTGAAACGTGTGGAGCATTTTCTTCCCACGCAAAAACTCTGAATTTTCATTTTAAATTAGGTACTTTAAAACTGTGTTGTATCTTGCATCTTCTTGTTATAATGTAGAAGACAAGCTATTCAAATGGAGAAAAACAGAGCCTCGTTGAGACCAGGCCGTTATTCGGGTATTCTTAGTGACTCGAGGAGTGTTTAGTTTGCCTGCCGACTCTACTAGTGTGTCTTGTCCTTCTTCAACCTCTCTCACCATCTATACTGTCATTACTCCTTACTTGAAACAGGCTCTGTATCCCATACCTATGTTTATCTGTGTCTCTTCTATTTCTACTCCCAGCTTGACTGGGGTTTGTACCCCCCCACACTTTAACTGGTGCAGTTGGTGCGAGGCTGGGGTCGCCGGTCAGTTGGTGTGGTGCGAGGAGCGGTTATGGCCCAGAGATCCCGTCTAATCCCCTGGAGGGTTGTGGAACCAAATAAGCAAAACTCTGGTGAGAGGAGGTTCCCATCCAGTTACCACAAAGACATGTTGGTCATCACTGCTCACTGGTGTTTACAATACACTTTTGTTTTTTCTTTGAACATGAAAACAAACAAATGGAACTGATAAAAACAGTGAAAATCTCATCTGAGGGAGATGTCCTACTTTAATATATTAGACAATAGCACAAAATAATTTCCCCCTGACATTAATGTTTAGTGTTGCAACACTGCTGACAGCAGTGAATGCTTTTCTGCGTTTAAAGCACAGCTCCTGGATCAGCTGCAGCTTTAAATGCCCCGCTCCGCTCAGCGCGCGTGCACCTTTAAATAAGGACATAAACAAGTTTTCGGTTGGCTGCCAACTAGTGTAGGGGGGCGGAAACATCACGATCACTGGATGAATGAAAGACCGAGGGCAACACGCCTCTCTTCAGCTTGCAGCGACCTTGCAACAGGCCGTGGCAAAGCAAGGGAAGCCGCCTGGCAAAAATAAACGTGGCTAGCTGATGTAGCCCCGTCGTCTCTTCTCCCTGCGACCTGCCAGCAAAGACCAACGTAAACCCCCAATAACTAATGTGTTCTGTTGGTTTAAATCGTCAGCCTAGATGCATTTAAAGTTACGCCAAAATGCAACACAATGACCCCTCGCAAATGGACGATGGATTCTTTGCACGCAAACTAAACGCGTTGGGACACTCCGTCCAGAAATCGGGCTAATGTTACCATGTTAGCAGCAGAGGAGGAAATATGGCGACCAACACATGAAAGAAACGACTTACATAGTTCAAAGTTTTAGAAGTGCAAACGAAACACTCATGTTTAAAAACAACCCTTATTTCACAACGTTTTAGTTCAATAAGGAGACTGTGACAGCGGACGGAGAGCCTACCTCTGTCCTCCGGATTCAGCTTAGAGAACAGCAGCAATGGCGGCGCGGCCTGCAGGCGAAGCGGCGGTTAAACCCACATTCAGACGGCTTATCCGACGAGGGTCGCGGTTCCTTCTGAACCGAGCAAGATCTGAAAGTGACCGACAGGTATCCAGGGCGACGGAGACTATTTCAAGTGTTAAAGGACCATGTGGGATAAACAGGACGCGTTTTGACTGGACCAGTTGTTGGAAGTGGCTCTGCCTGTGCTTCTCTTCCCCCACAACAATGCGGGTGGAAGAGACGCCACGCATGACGTCATGACGTTCACCACAAAACAAGGAAGTAGCTTCGTGTTCCGTCCTGGGGGGAAGGGTGGCTTTCACATGTAAAATACATACATGTAAAAGCTTACATTGGTAAATCTATCAATGACAAAGAGGTTGTGATAAAAAGGTATTTATATTGCAGTCCAAAAGATTCTCGCGCACGCACACACACACACACACACACACACACACACACACAC